TCTCCTTCCAATGACATTCCTTTTGTTGCTCTCTCTCATATTGTGCTATTCTTGACTCATGGAAATGTTTGGCTAAGCGGTGACGTCACAATAAGACGATTTATTGGTCGCCCAATTCCAAGGAAGGTGATAAGGTCTGTTTACATTCGAATGGTACAGCCTATATAGAGGCTGTGACTGTGAACATGCAATGTCGCTGCGACCAAACAACCTTAAACCAGGAAGCTGTAATGTCAGTACCATTGAGGAAATGAAAGAGGGGAGGGGGATACCCCCTCCTCCAACGTATCTGTTAAATTTGCCCTATAGATTTGGCCTAGAGAATTTTTTGTATTTTGTTTTATATAGCGCGTTGAGTAAGTTATAACTGCGCTTTATAAGTATTTAATATTATTAATCATAATCGTTCTATTTCTTTTAATGTTATATCTTACTCATTTACTTATGCATTATAAATAGTGCTTTTACGTGATTTTCATCTTTTGCGCTCTAGTGCGCCTTGAGAAATTGATTTCACGTGGATTTGTTATTGAAAAGAAATTTAGAGAGATAGAATGATGGAACGAATACAAGTTATCGGAAAAAAGGAAGAAAGGAGGAAAGGTATATACATGTATGAAGAAAGTAGGGAAGACAAAAAAGGAAGGAAGGAATTTGGAAAGAAAGAAAGGAAGAGGCAAAAACACCACTAAATAGAAGGAATGCCATTTTCACGTCTCTTCAAGCTATAAGGCGATGAAGTATTCAAGATAATCATTGCCTTATTTTCGCCTAGATTTACAAAAGTAGTGTTGTTGCTAATTATTTTTACTAGGCGACAAGGACTTTATTCTTGTAAAAAGAAAGCTTGTAATGTAATAATTCTTGAGTTTATCTATTATCAGCATTGAAAAGCAGCTTAGGTGAGGCGTAATCACATTAAAGTACATTTACATTAAACAAATTAAATAATCAAATACTGCTTTTCTTAATACTCGTCCAAAATCCTCGAAAGATTTTCTTCTTGCTAAGACTCTATAGAGACATAAAGACGACAGAATGATTTTGCGTGTTTTTGCTTTGTTTCCATGGAATGTTTAAGAGATTAATCCACACATAAAAAGTATAATCTTCTTAAGGAAATCCGATTTTTAGGATTAAAATGGTGTATTCTAGTTATCAAGAAGGAAACCATCTATTCTTGGTTTCTCAAGAATGTAAAGCATGTCTCATTCTCTTTTACTAACTACAGGAATGTGAAGAATGCATTTCACCTAATCAGACATACGTCACAATGGAGGTCTAGACCTGTGGACTCAAATAGCTTCGTATTCTGTTAAATAAATATGATTACACCCGGACGCGAACGAGGTTCAATAATTGTATGAACACTGAAATATAGTTTCTATTCTGAATTTGTATAAATATTTAGAAGAGAAGAGAGGAAGAGAGAGAGAGAGAGAGAGAAGGGGGAGGGGGACAATAGAGATAATGGTAAGAGAAAAAGAAAAGAAAAGGAGAAAGGGGAGAGGTACAAATATGTTATGGATTCGAGAGAGATTGAGAGAAAAGTGAGAAAAAAAAGCTATGCAGCGGAATGAGAAGGAGAGAGAGAGAGAGAGAGAGAGAGAGAGGGGGAGAGAGAGAGAGAGAGTTTTGATTGGGGGGGGGGGGGGGTAGCAATTAACCTGTCGTGATATTTGAGACATCATGCTGGTATTTGTATGAACCAAGCATGAGTCATAATTTGTGTTTCAATCATAAAGAAACACCCCAACATCGGTTCTTTTGTGCATTCGAGCATATAGTCTGCACGCACAGACCCTATTTTCACATTTTTCATAATATTAAAAAAACTGAAATCCTTGATTTCAGCCTAACTTTGTAGATTTTCTGACTGTGCCTAATCAGGAGCGACTACAGTACAGGACATGCGGAGTGTATAGTTTACATAGTCTAATGTTCCAGACCCTTCTGATACGTGTTCCCGCTAAAAAGGGTTTGTGTCTGCAAAGTAGATCGAGCGTGCGCAGCTTGACTTAACGTCATCTCAAAGTACAGCACATTTTATCACAATAAGTTCATTTCATAACCACAATTATCCAGTGGAAAGAGTGAATATAATTATTCTCGGTCTCTGATTTGTCACCTGATAGACCCCCATCAATTTATGTAGCCCCTCATAATTTAAAGAACAAAGCTCACCCCTCCATTCACAAGCATTATATAGAGAAGTATAGTGATGATGAATCACTCTAAATTACAGGGATTTAAATTTAAATCTATAGGATTTATTTTTAAATCTTTCATGTACTGTAGGTAGGGACCAATCGATGTGGATTTAAAATTAATCTTCGCTAGGATTAAAAAGTTTTAATCTGTAAATGATTAAAAAATAAGTTCAAAAGATTTATATTATAAATCTTTCTAGATTAAAATTAACCCTGATAAAGATTTAAAAGCAATCCTTTTTGGGACTTCTTTTTTTTATATTTGAAACTCGGATTAAGAACCAGTTTAGCAATCTTTTAAGATTAAAAATCAATCTTTATGGATTTAATTTCATTCAAATCCGGCTTAAGATTTAAATTTTAAATCCCTGTAATTTAGAGTGGGGATAGTTTGGCAATGCCAATGGCATGCTGGTGGGGTTTTTCTTCTGACTCAGAGTGCGTAAAAGGGCGTTTTCTAAAAGAATGGGAAAAAAGACAATCAGAAACATTTTCTCCAACGTCAAATTATTCATATTTTTTATTAAACAAGGAGAGATTGTTAGGAGTCATTCTGATTCATTCTCAGTCGGTGTTCTTCTCTGTATACAAAATTAATCATCATATTTTTTTTTAAAGTTTCAAAAACGCCCCTGGATATAGAGACGTAGCATTGATATCAAATGATGATACGCGGGTATTATAGTGAGTATACAATCGATAGTGAAAACACAAGTATATAATTAAAAACAGGCCATCTTCTTCTTCTTCTTGATTTCCTCCAGGCTTGGTGAACTGCGGAGTTGTGTCCTTCGCCCAGGATCCTTCGCAGAGTGAGTCAATAGAGAATAGGTAGACAATTATAATAGGGGTACCAGTGGCGTAATGAGCAAAACGGTTTTTTTTTTATGGGGGGGGGGGGGGAGGGAGAGAACTAAAATCCGCATCACCACCACTCTTACATGTTACATGAATGCCCCGAGGAACGTTTTTTCAAAATGGGGGGGGGGGGGGGGGGGACTTAAGTGGGGTCCAGGGGGCAAAGCCCTGGCGGGGGGCAAAGCCTTGGCGGGGGTCAAGGGGCGAAGCCCCCGGAAACCCAGGGGTTTTAGGCTTTTTAATTACGGTCAGATGAGCATATTTTGATACCTTATTTGTGACACTGGCAGGTCACGCACGTATTGGCGTGAGGTCCAGGGGGCTGAGCCCCATGAAGCTCAGGGGTTTTAGACATTTAATTACGTTCACATGGGCATTCAGGGGCCCGCCTTAGGGTCCCTGGTGGAGTCCAGGGGGCATACCCCCGGAAGCCCCAGAAGTTCAGGGGTTTTAGGCAATAAATTACGGTTAGGGAATCATATTTTGATACCTCATTTTGTGACAATGGCAGATCGCTATTCTTTCTTTCTTACTATTGTAAAAAAAAAGTGAGGGAGGCGAGGGGGGGGGGGGGTCGACCCCCGAGCCCTGCAGTTTCGCGGGCCCTGACATGTAGGGTTTTAAAAAGTAAATAAGCATATATTTTGCCCGACTGAAAATTTTGGAATTTGTAGTTTTCCAACAAACGCATAAAAAAGTAATATTTAAGAAAAAATGAAAATAAATCCCGGAAAATCATGGAGTTTCAGCAACATGTGTAAATACCTCTTTAATAACGTTTGATTTTTTTTTGGGGGGGGGGGCAACTGCCCCCAAGCCCCCCATCAGTAGCCAATGAGGGGAACATAAATCAGGATCACAAGATTTGCTATGATGACATCTTAGGAGGAGCTTCTTTGTTTACAGAAGATGGTTTCAATTAAGTGCATTTCTAGGATAAATTTTAAGGATGCGGCATGGTAATCCAGGGTCAGTGGGCAGTAATGGGTCGTCATGTGCTGTGATGACATCTTAGGAGCTGCTTTGTTTACAGAAGATGATCGACTCTATAAAGGAACATGAGATTTGTGGTGACGTCAGCCACGAGATGGGGAGGAACAGAGTTGGTGTTGGTGTTGAGTGCAACTTAGGCTTTTGATGAAGTTTTCCCTTTGGTCATTGTAAAATGACAAATAACTGAAAAATTAACGAGGGGAATGAATGATGCATATCCAGAAAGATGAATCTACAAGGACAAAATAAAACTGATAAGCAATTTCATAAGGAATGCAAAAAGTAAAGAAATCCAGTTAATGGGATATTAATTTGTTTTCCGCCCTTTATAAAGACAAAAAATTATTTACTTTTATAATTAATTATTTGCTAGATGTAGCCTAAGTAGGCCTATCATATTTGTAAATGAACTACATGTACATATGCTTAAATAGACCATGACTCAAAATCTAACTAAATTGTGTAAAACTTCAAGGAAAAACATCAAGTCTAAATAGTTTTAAAAAGCAATAATAGTTATGATTAGCTTATTAAGTCATATGTTTTCTAATTTCACGTAAAAAATAAAAATACAGCAAGTTAGAACTACATGTAGAAGATTTTCCTTTTTTTAAAACAAATATAGAACAGATTATATTTTAACAGTATAACAGTGTCGTTCAAACAATATTATTTATACATTTATAGACTGCTCTTTGGAGTGCACCGCACTCTTTCTTTTTCTTCTTTTCTTTCTTTCGTTCCTTGATGGACTTTAAGAGTAATTAATTTCTAGATTTACTGCTCCTTTCTGTCGATTTCTGTCTATCATGACTTTAATGTAGAATATTTTTCATGTTGACAAATGAAAAAAAAAAAAAATTGTTATCACTTTTAAATATCTTCCGACTGTCGTATCGAATGAAAAAGTTCAATCAGAAAATATAGTTGAAGAATCTGAAATCGCACTTTTGTTGGAGTGCGGGCATTTCGAATCGGGAATTTTGATGGAGGATTTTTATTAAATTGTTTGATTCAATGAGTTAATTTGCTGAAGATAATGAGCACCTTTGGGGGGTTGATGGTGGAGTATCCACAGATTGCCATTGATCGATTTCAAGGGGATGCTGTGCTTAGGGCAAGGGGTTATTTTCTATCTCATTGTCATACTGGTAAGTGTAAACCCTTAATTGTTGTCCCATGCGTTGTATTTTGTGTTGGTTAAATTATGGTTTAATCCAATTCGAGAAGTAGACTAGTATCTGACTAGTTTAAAGGTAATAATCAAGTTTTGGTATGGGGTCATGAATTCCAAATGAACATATTGGAAGAATATGCGATTTTACAATATTTAATGATAGTTGTCACGGTTGAAATCGAGACAATTATTTTTTACTGGAAGAAGAAGAAGTAAATTTTTGGCACTAGACCACTCCAGCAAAGCATGACTCTGATATCGACGGTTGTTCCGCAGAGATTGCATCTGGGGCCCTTTCCTAGAAACCGTCATAAGTCTAACTTCTTGACTATCCCATTGAAACGTGTGTTATAGAATTAACACGCGTTTCAATGGGATAGTCATGAAGTTAGACTTATGACGGTTTCTAGGAACGGGCCCCTGGCTCCTCTGCCCGCCTCTAGGGTAGCGCGCCCAGTATTTTTGTCCATTCCCAGCATTCGGTCAGACAGCCATTTCAACAGCTGTAACAATTTAAAAAATAATTAATGAGCCGCGAAACTTGCACAAATCAGGCAGCTAAACAACTTTTCTTAACTCTCAAAATTAAATCAGATATAGACTAGGGCCCTGGAAAGATCTCCAACTTAGCTCGAAATTGGTCAGTGTCGCACCACTTTCTGCACTTCCGCGTTCTGTTAGCACATGCGCTAACATGCATAGCCATATGTAGAAGTCTATTGCGAAACAACTTTGTGTGCTGTCGCAATGAATTTAGTATGTGTGTGAAGAGGAGCTCTTCCTTGTTCGCTCCATCACAGCGAATTTGCAAATGTCGCACTTGCCGATGTGCAAGAGGTATTTATACGATACCCTTGCCATGCGGTAACGCTCGTCCAGTATTCGGTCAACGCATTGACAATCGGTGCTTTATCGCGCAATTGTGTGAAAATAGCGCGCAAATACGCTTCGCTCCTTGGCAACGGAGATTAAACGCACAAATCGCGTGACCGAATTCCGTCTTCTTTCGGAAATATTTTTCTTATTATCATTCTTTATTTTAAGTGACTATAAATTAGTATAAAATCCTGTTAGAGGAATATTTTTTCGTTCTTTTGATGGGTAGATTGCAAAATAAAAGAGGTAAGAACTCAAAATATCAGTGATTTCCCTTTAAGTGACCGAATACTGGGCACTCTATGTCTACCCTATATATAGACTGAAGTACAGCCTATGGGAATGAGTGGAACAAATGGTTCGGTTCGGCCGGACGGCGATGAATGAGATATGCAACGAGATTTTCACTCTTTACATCCTCATAAGTGCAGTTTGGCTGCAATATTACAATAATTATATTAAAAAATAAAAAATAACACAGAAATATATATTTTGACTTCCGATATCTTGCTCATTTAGATCCTAAATTAATGATTAATCCGAGAAAGTCTGGTAGTCGACATGATTCGTTGTCATCCATCTTGGTTTTACTCCAGTCTCCTATGTGTGTCGGCGTGGAGATACCCTACTAAAACATACCGAAAATCAACTAAATTTTCACCAATTGTTCAAAAAATGGTCATGATTTAAAACTCATTATGATTCATACCTGTTTCGTGTCAATTTTCTTATCTTTTTTTGACTTTTAATATACACTTTCTCATGGGATTCACAGCAAACTGCTGCACAATACAATTGCATACCGTACACTCGTACAGACGGTGGGGTGCGGGGGCGCACGTCATGCGGCGCGTGTGTTAAGTTAGCGACCGTAATGATGAATTACTTAGATTACAGTCGCTAACTTAACATACGCATGTTTCTTGTCTTAAACATAACAATAATGATAATCTGTGATACAATTTTAATTGAGCTTTTATACCTCCTTTCTTCCATATTCTCCCCCACAGATCACATGGTCGGTCTCAGCAGCAAAAAGTTTGCCGATAGACTTAAATGCAAGTAAGTCTGAAGTATCGATACAGCCATTGAACATTGTATGTAGCAGTATTTCTCCTTTAGATCCAGTCTACCATCCCAAAATCACACCATTCAACCTTCAATAATCATCAAACAGAGAAAGGCCAAAGATAATGTCAAAGGGAACAATCTAAAAACATAAGCTATATACAGCTAGAATGAGTGAAATCAACTCAAAGAAATATGTAATTCTTAAAGCTTAATCATTGAGGAGTTTGATGAAAGGTTAGATATTAGCCTATCCAAGTCAGACTCGCATTCCGTGTCTGCCCTTTCTAAACGTGGTTACATAGAAAATAATGTGCACAGAACTACATTGTAAGTCCATTTGTTATGCTTTCATTTAGTTTCTTGATACTCTTACTGTTAATCCATGGGATGAAGGTTACAGCTAGCATACATGTAGGTTATTCTTACTAGCTGTACTCACATACATTTCTACTGTTTGACGGATTGGCCCCCTTTGATGCCCGGCATGGAGAAACAAGAAATAAATATGTGCAGAGAGAAACTTGATTATGTACAGATATTCAATTTATTCAACTACCCGAGGGGATATGTCATTGCAACCACTTGCTTTAGATGGATTGAACAAAGCACATACTCACACACAATACACTGCACTTTAAAGCATATTAGCGAGAGAGAGAGAGAGAGAGAGAGAGAGAGAGAGAGAGAGAAAGAGAGGAGGAGACACAGATATAGGTAGAGTACACACAAATTGACTCCCAAGAACTAGTTTATTTTTGTAAAACAGTGGATAAATATTAGCGTTTTTGAAATCTGCTCTATAAAATATGTGTTCAAAATTGTAAAACTCTTTGAGTTCAGTTTATGGTGAAAATTGATACTAAAAGTCAACCAAGACAGTTTTAGGACTAAACATAAAACAAAATACCTGTCTTTGTGATGCAACTGCATTTAATCTCCTCTTATTTGTGTGAACAGTCCCCACATTAGACTGTATTGCTCTGAGGTGACCTATGAGTTCCTACTGACAGACGACAAGTATAAGCACCTGCAGGCCAGTCTGTCCTCACTGCCCATTGAACAGACCAGCACAGTTGCACTAGTGAATGAGTTCAATGGCCAGGTATGTGGAGATGTCATGTTATAGTCTTCTTAAAGCTCATACAGAGGTAAAGTGGTAAGCTGCAGCATTTTTTTTCTCACCATGTGTAAATGAATAGAAAGCAATCGCGCAACAGAGGCCCTAACTGTATGCACTGACCTCTGTGCTATAAGATACAGAAATGTGAAGTGTATTACACTTATGTCATGACAAACGATTTGGTTTACCATGTCATATCTGAGCAAGGCTTCATAGGAATTAAGTTACCTGACTTTCTATCAGTCCTTTACCACTTAATAGTGTTTGTTAGTGTGTATTTCAGGCATGGAAATGAATTAAATCGTATGTATATGAATATGAAAAGATGAGTAGGCCTCCCTGAGTCCCTGTAAGTCTTGCAGAACTATTTGATTGAATGATAAATTTACAAAGTATTGTTGTAACATGAAATTAAATCAAGTTCTAATGTTTCTATTCTCTGATTTGTTACAGGAAGAAAAGCTATTGGTCACTCTGCTGCCAGCAGGCCACTGCCCTGGTTCTGTCATGTAAGTCTGTGTACTTCAAGGTTTCATTATGATATCTCAGGGAAAAATTACTTACCCCAAATCATAGTCAACACCCAGACCATTGTATTTCATTTGTATACTAGTAATTTCTGCCAGATAATGAGTCTTATCCTAGATTTTTTGAGATGCTCTTTCATCTGCCCAACTACACTAAACAGTAGTGCATCTCATATCTGTATCTCTTCATCTACCCAGGTTTTTGTTTGAAGGTGATCAAGGCACTGTCCTGTACACTGGAGACTTCAGATTGGCCAAGGGTGAAGCAGCAAGGATGGAACCTCTGCATTCTGGATCTAGGTTTGTAAATCAAATCACCTGATTGAAAGTCATACGTAACGATGGACGATTGAACATGTTATCAATAAATAAGAAAAATATTTGGTACCCCTTATGTTAAAAAATTTGAATGAGAAATTAATAGATGATAAAGTAGAAGATTATTTAATATATGAGAAACACAATTAATGGTCTTAGCTTTATATGCACCAGATCATAAGTGAACTTTTAGCGCTAACTTTCATAGATGAAATAGTCAAAATTGCCCCTTTTCCAGGCATTTCTGTAAAAATATAATGCAGTCTGTACTTTATTAAGATAAAAGTCTACACTTTTAATCATTGTTGAACAGCAGCTGATTAAAGAAAAAAGTACCGGTATGTCACACAATTTCTCAGTTTATCTTTATATTGCACAGAAAATGCTTGCAGGAAATTTACACAAACTGGTGTGCAATTTACACATAAGATGGTGTCACACAGAGGCCAAAAATCCGGATTTTAGTTATCCTCTTAATTGGCTGTCCGTTATCAATTATCCCTTAAAAAAAACCTTCAAAAATCCCTTCAAAAATCCTCAAACGAAGCAAGATAATTCTCCCTTGAAAGGATTTTTCAAGAGATTTTTTAAAGGATATTTCTGTCAGACACCAATGTTGAAATAATCCCCTTTAAGGTCAGTGTAAGGTCAACGCGCTATCAATGACCTGCGCACAATTGTATTAGCGCGCATTTAATGAGACGTGTTACTTTGTGATGTCACAATGCTTATCTACCTAAACGGCGCATGCGCAATGGCCCATCAAAAATCCAGATTTTAGTTATCCGGATTATTCGTAGCCTGTCTGTCACCAGTCTGTCACTGACGTAAATGAAAAAACTAGATTTCTAATATCTGGTTTATTCAAGAAGGGTCGGGATTTTTCTGTGTGCCTAGAGAGGAACATAACAATGGCAAGCTTGTAAATTGACGGTTTGTAAATTACATTGGAAGGGAAATCTACAAGAGATCAACAGCAAGTAATTTCTTGATCAAAATTTTGAAGACAGGAGGAATGTGTAATCAATGAACATAATAAAGCTTGTAGAAACAAAGCCTTTCCGGGATGTGGGAGCTCGTCAAGGGATTTCTAGTCTGACAATAGGCCCATTTACACATCCTAAAGACCATTTTGAAAAATTGTCAACTTTTTGGACTAACATTTACACTACGGGAAAAACCCATAAAAAACTGTTGATGTTCGCTCATCCTTTTTTTGGAGGGGGAGGGGGAGGGGGGAGTAATGCGCATGCGCGACTCGTAGGTGCCCTGCATGCATTAGCTAGAACAGTTGTGTGACAACAAAAATGGTGTCTTACCAAAGTTTGCTTTTACACTTCAAAAAATCAGTATAAATTCGGTGGGCATTTAACAAAATAAGAACACTCCGGAGGTGTTTTTCTCTATTTCTATTTTACAGTTTAATAGCAACTAATGGTGAAACATCAGAATGTGAGAAAACCAAGGAATTTTTTTTGTTGCAGTCTAAATGCAGCTAATGACTTAAAATGCCTACAATGTGGAGATAATGAGTTGCTTATTCATGAGTGTAATAATATCTGGTACCACCTTTTCACCAGTCAGAGATTACCGGTAACTTTTTTAATTGTTATAATTAGGTCCAGTGTCAAACAGATTAATTTTCTTGAAAACTGTAGGACTAAGTTTCACCTGCATTTATCTAGCTGACCCTTTATACCTCACTAGCATCTCATATTGTGTTCTCTTTATCTTTATATTTTTCTGTAGGGTGAAAGATATAATCAGTGTATATCTTGACACCACTTTCTGTGTCCCTGAAGCCATGTATATCCCAAGCCGGGTAAGTTAATTCTCCACTTGGTCAGGTAATTAGAGTAATACCAATCCTCTTTCTGTAGCCTGTACATTACTTAAATTTGATGTGTGAAACATTCAGTTACACCATTTTATAATCTATTCATAGAAATGTAATACATGTCTATTAGTATTGTTATTATAGGTTTTCCCGGCCAATTTCGTAAAAGCAGCAATCAATATTATTAACATGCATTTATGTTCGAGCAAATTTTCTCAACTCATTCCTTCCCTGTTTCGTTTAGAGTCACCAAATTTTCTCAACATGCACATTCAAATTAAAGCTCGGTTCAGTCAATTTGGAAATGCGTAAGGGTCATTCAATTTCGCCAATGTTGAGTGGCAGGTGAATTATTTGGCGAATTGCGGTTTCATTTTCGTCTATGGGCAACCTCTTTCGCAATCGGGTCATTCAAATTAAAACTAGACCTCATAATCATAGTATGAGGCTCGATGTTCATTCGGATATTCAGTATTTCATGTTCATTTATTTATTCTTTTTCTCTATGATCTTTTCTGACATGATTTCACATTATACAATCTTCTTATAATTTGTCTGATATATTTATATTGCATTTTATGTTTTTTCTTTCTTTCAACATTCTTTATTTTTGTTGAATCATCTCTTTATTCATATCTTCGTATTTTTAATTATAAATACCTTAGGGGTTATTTTTTTTAATGGTTTGTTTTGATCAATCTTGATTGAGGAGGTGATCTTTCTTTCTTTTCACCTAACATCTTTTTCTTTATTCATCATTGTATTTCGTTTCCATCATGTCCATGTCTATTAAACCTGAACTCTACCTCTGTCCAAGATCTGTTTATATACAGTGCGTCCCAGAAAAAACGAAACCGAGAAGTATCGATGTTCTATCATAACTTACTCACAACTATGATTAATGAATGATACATATTTGGAAAGCTTAGAGTCTCCTCTTTCATTTGATGCAACTCATTTGATGCATATTTCACGCATGAGTGATTAAAAGCAATTTGAAGGAAGGAAACCAAAAAGACATTTGGCGGGCGGTATCTGAATTTCGAAGAAAAATGCACATTTCTAGAAAGTTGAGTTTCTGCCCTTTCATATGACACCTCAATCAGGAAAAATGAGCGAGGAATGACAAAGTTCTGTTTGTTTAAAGTAGTGCTTGCATTTCCATAATTTTATTAAACGAATTCGTTTTCACTGGCTGCCCGCCGTATCAATAAACGAAATTAACAAAAGACTTAACTCCGTTTCGTTGACAATCGGCCGTAGACGAGAGTCTTCATGCATGGCTGATTGTCAACGAAACGGAGTTAAGTCTTTTGTCAAATCTGTTTTTTTGCTACGGCAGGCAGGCATCATCTGAGTAGCATCAACTGAAAGAGGAGACTCTAAGCTTTCCAAATATGTATCATTCATTAATTATGGCTGTGATTAAGTTATGATAAAACATCGATACTTCTCGGTTTCATTTTTTCTGGGACGCACTGTATAGTTTGTGCTTAAAAAGAAGAGAAGTCACAATTGTGCACCTTCTCTGGGGACAGTTATCTGTGTAATGACAGAACGAATACGCAGGTCATTCTTCCAAGTAAACTTTGCATAAAATTATTCAAACAGAAATATATTAAGTGACAAATTAACATCAAATGAAAAGCAATGCACAAATGTCACATATATATGCCTAATCACGAAATTGAATGCACGAAGACATACCACCGTTTGCTGGCCCGAAATTGAATGCTCTTTGCACGCTTTTCTAAATTGAATGCTCGTTTTGCACGTCTCTGTGACAAGAGTATGAAATCGCATGCTACTAAATCAAATTGAATGACGCAATTAGCTTTTTGAATGTTGATCTACATAGTCATTCAATTTCGCACAAACTTGAATGAACGTAACATTAATTTGGATGCTAAGTTTACAAAGGTGGGCGGGAAAACCTATATTATAATCGTTATTTTATTATCTTCGTTTGTATTCCTTGTATTTCCATTTTAGGGAGAATCAAAGGATGCTCTTTTGGATCTAGTTGATAGGTAGGTCTAGACAATATTTTTGTGAATATCCTTGAGTTCTTAAGAAAATTGGACATTCCATTGATCATACAAAATTTGAAAATGTTGATTTTTATTTAGAAAATTAAAAACTATGTCTTATAAAGAATGTTTACTTAATAATGAGAAATACAGTGAAAGTCAAATGGCTAGTATTGTGGTACACTTCCAATAATCCTACCAGTGCCACTCAGACATCCCCCCATCTGTGGCAATGGTTCAAGCACTTAGAATCTAGTGCTATCCAGCTGAATTGAAATGATGTTATATATGAACTCTCTCTGACTGCATGAGGTCCATAATGTTCATGCATTTATGAAGAGTATTATTGAAATCGGCAGGTATTCTAAACCAGTCAAAGGAAATGCTCAATCAGCTGCTAGTCAATGGTCAGTCCTGTGGCTGGTTTTGCATCATTGTGAATAATAATAATAATAGGCATTTCTATAGCACCGTCTATCTTTTTAGAAATTCTATTCCGAGGCGCATTCATTATTACCCCGGCTTTAGCCTAGCTGCCGTTACAGCACTCCAGCATTTCGAGGAATAAATTCCTACCAGGTACCCATTTACCTCACCTGGGTCGATTGTGGCAAATGAAGATTAATGCCTTGCCAAAGGACATTAGTGCCGTGTCGGGGATCGAACCACGACCTTTGAATTTCAATTCAAGTGCTTAAACCACTCGACTACGCCACCCCAAAGGTGTTCAGCCATTTTCTTTAACTACAAGGCTCACAATAATATATTCAGCAGTCTTATTATCACTATAGATATGATCATTCAGGATCTCAAGATCAATTCAGGAATACTTTACACCGAAATCAAGTAATAGGCAGGTTGACATAAGGTTGTGTGTACTGGCTGTAAATGTTTGTATGCTATGAAGGATACTCCGGTCTTTGGGTTCGTGCATACAAATTTAAGCAAATTTGTCCCTAGAGCACACTAAATGGTAATGGTATATTCATAATAGTTCAAAACGCCATAAGGTTGTGTAGAAAAGTGTTTCATCTATCTCTTGTTTTCTTTAATAAATCCAAACATTCTAGCCATATAAGTAAGAGTGCTGGTCATATGGTGAAGCTGAACTGCAAGGCCAAGTATGGCTATGAGTACCTCTTTGTGGAGCTCAGCAAGACTTTCAATCAAAAGGTATAATTTTCTTTCTTATCTTTCGTTCAAGTTCTAAGTAACATGAATGATTTGACATGAATACAACAAGATGGTTCTCTCAAAGCCAGATGGATTTGCTTTTTATTTTGTCTTGTCTAAAGTCATTTTTCAGCAAATCATTCCCATCTTCCTACAGATTAATTTGCAATAACGCTCTCAACATTTGCCCCATTCCAAATAAAAAAAAGAAAAGAAAAAGAATTCATGCCAAGAATTCCTTGCCTGATTACAGAAAAAAAATTATACTATTGTGCTTCGAAGGAAATAGTATGATATTTCAAATTGCTACAGTCTTGAAAATATGTTACCTTTACATCATTCATCTTAAGTGTTTTTATATCATCCATCATTTGATTTGATTTATAGATTCATGTGTGTGATACATTGATGAAACAGTACAACAGAGTCCCAGACCTGTGCTATCACTTGACAACAGAGGGCAGTCTAACCCAGATCCATGCTTGCAGATATGGGGTAAGTTCACCGGCATGAACCATACATACATCATCTACACTTTGAACAATACTGCAGATAACAGGAAGTTAATGGAAGTTGATATAGAATTGTGTAATCTTTTGAAGGCAAAGTGATATGAAATACATGTAATGTGTGTACTGGGAATCTTAGGTTGGTACAATGCAGCTACTCAATATGAGTGCTTATTCATGAAATAATTAAAGAACATGTTATGATTTCAGTTGACTCAGTATCAAGCTTCCCCATTGTAAGGTATGTGTAGTGTTTCCATTGCTGATGATGATCAATGGCCCATATTCTACTCAAATTCAGACCCAACGCTAGGCTTCAGCTATTAGTCAAAACTGGGTTTAAAAAAGAAAGTCTGTCTTAGGTCTAGGTTTTCCTTTATTAAACGTGATCTTAGCCCCTGAGTCAGTTTTAAGTGAGTTAGTAGAGTCCAGACCAATGTCTCTATTGAGAGTCCTTTTCTTTGCACTCTTCTTCCTATGTCTCCTAGCCATGTTCCCTCAAGAATGCAACAAACATTCTTTCAATCACGCCAAGCACTATGTGGTTTACGGGTAATGCCAGGCCAGAGGATGTCATTAGGTAAGATTGCCATTCTATCTTCATTTCGGCAAATATACAAATATTACTTCTACTAAAGAGAAAATGTTTGCATTAGCGTAATAGCCTGGAGGGCGGTCTCTATCACCCAAATTATAATAATACACAAATACAACAGTAGAATCAGTGCCCTGAAGTAGAAAAGGTTAGATGTGATAGAAAGATTGGTTCTGAAGTTCAGCATAAATCGCTGGTATCCAATACCTTTTTTTCACATAAAATTCAGGCAAGGTTTTTATAGATACATGTGTAATTAATTATAGTTATATTTAAGAGTGATATGGAACCCTTAGCCTATGTCATCATTGGCTCCTTGAGTATGGCCTGTTCTAATCAGTTTATCTAGATAAAATCTTGAGGCCTGTTAAAAGAAACTGTCACAAGTCCTAAGTTTTTCAGGATAATTCTATCAAATGCATGTCAAAAATGTCTTTTTTAACTTGCATTTAGAATGGATGCCCAGAAATGTTATAGACTTGTTGAAGAATTCAAGTCCCGAAGTGTCATGACTGTCTATTACTCTGCATTAACCCTTTAATCTTAAAAACATTTAAAATTCAACACATTCATGGTCACTTGAGACAAGGCTATATATGTATGGCTACATTACAAAAACATATGTATGAAGTGTAGTCTATGGCCAAGATATTATTTCAGACCCTGCAATATGACTGATGGTTATTGCTGCAGTTCAATTAATTTCAGTAACCTTAGAAGGTATTTAGCTAAGTATTAGAAAATCTGACAATAAATGCTCATTCTCATACTCATACAGGTCATACAGGTCCTTCTGTGTAGAATATTACCATGCAGTGTTTTTTTTTTTTTTTTTTTTTTTTTCTTCTTTTTCCTTACTAGTATTTACTTTTTCTTTTTCATTTTTCCTACAGCGCGTAGAGATGTTAACAAATGTATTATGCGCTTTATAAGAACTGTACTATTATTATTATTATTATTCTTTCTATGCCCTTTTTTTTCTTGACATAGTCAAAATATCCATGGTATATTCTTTTTTTAATGAGAATTCCTTCCCGCTCCAGGTCTCCTTGGTAACCTCTGTTGTGTTTTCCTGTTTTTCCCAACAGAAAGGTTGGTCGTAGATACAGGCTCTGCTTCTCCTTCCACTCTTCATTCAGTGAGGTAAATTTTGAAATCTCCCCCCTCCCCACCTCCTTCCTGAAAATGAGTCAGGTATTATGCCATATCTCAAATTATTGTGATTCATCACTGAGGAGTCATGTACTGTTTTCAATACAAGGTTGCAATACCACTTTATCCGAAACTCACATGCTTCCTGTATTCATGGAATGTTATCATTTGACCCAATTCAGCAACAATGATGTAATAAAAATGATGATATGATAAAAATGTGAACAAATGAAATAAAATAAAAATATTATGACAATTGAATTCTCTGTAGGAAATGATATCATCACTGATTCACTTTTACTTTCCTAAATATGACTCATTTCTGTTTCATCAACTTTCCCAAGTATTTATCATTTATTGCAGATTCAAGGTAAAAATGTGTTTGTCTGTCTTTTCCTGTTATTCTTCAAGTTGAAATAATATCACAAGGGGAATTCCCTGTGCTATGTTTACATGTTGATGAATGAGTAGGCAGCTGCTTTCCCCCAAAAAGTACATGTTCATGTACTTTATTTGGTAATTGGTCCATGATAATTGTTGTAATGCGTGAGTGTTCAAGGTCATGGTTTAAAAAGTAAATATAATAAAGGTGTGATTTCCTGATAATTAGAACTTGGGTGATTTTTAATGCCTTTTTCACCCTACTCTTCTCTTTATCTCTATCTCTCTCTCTCTCTCTTTTTTTTTGTCTTTGTCTTTGTCTCTGTCTTTTCCCTCTCTCATTATTTCTCTGTCATTCTCTTCCTTCTGTTTATCTTTCTTCTATCTCTTTCTGTTTCCTTCTCTTTCCCTCTTTCTCTCCTATTTCCTTCTCTATTTTCCTTCTCTGTTTTCCTTCTTTATTTCTTTCTTAACTCTTTCTCTTCTCTTCTCATTCAGTTCTCTCTTTGTATTTTCAATTATCTTTTCTCTCCTGCCCTCCCAACCTTTCTAGATTCGAGATTTTCTTGGTTATATCAGACCACAACATGTCTACCCAAATGTGATTCCATATGGCTCATCAGAGGAAGAAGTTGTAAAACGGTGAATTATGTAATTTCTTACATCTTAAATATTTTCACAACAAGTAAACTGCACAGAATGATTTCTTTTTTTGTCCAGGATGCTATGGTTAATTCATTTAAAGTCAATTAGTGGTTGTTGTCATGATGATTGGATCAGCTTTTGACTACTTTTTTTCCAAACTGGAAGGATGTTCAGTCAGGTTTATTCACTAGGATCAATAATATTAACACTGTCTTAAAATTGTTATGACATGTTTGCCACCATCAGCTTGAATATTAGCCCAACCTAATTGTGTTAGCATTTTGAAAAACCAAGTAGATGTAGTCTTTTAATATTGATGAAGAATTGATTTTGACATGCCTATGCAGTGGGTGACACTTTCTAATAATTAAAACCTCTCAACTCCCTTTTAATGCAATACAGTGTATATGTGATTTCCTTTAAAACAATACCCAGACTCCAAGACTGTTTGAGAAGTAACAAAAGGGGTGTGATCCAGGATCATGATGTTTCCATAGCAACCAACTTCCAACCTTTTGGCAGTTTGAAGGACATTAGGAATGCAAGCAGGAAAAGGCAGCATGGTAAGTGTTCACGTTAAGACTATGTTACCATTTAGTTTGTTGATCTGATATGGGGTTATGGTATATATATGGCTGTTCCTTTTAATCATCTACATCCTAAATTTGAGCTTTTTGGTAGGATTTGCTGGATGTTTCTTTAATATTCTAGTCCAGACATGACTGAATCTAACTTTGAGAAGATATTTCCTTTTTTTTAAATTATTTTTTATTTTTATTTGAAAGAACCTTTTGATTGACTTGGAAGAGAGAGAGAGAGAGAGAGAGAGAGAGAGAGAGAGAGAGGGAGAGAGAGAAAGAGAGAGAGAGAGAGATAAAGAGAGACGGAGAGAGAGAAAGGGAGGGAGAAAGACAGACAGAGGGAGGGAGGAGGGGGGGGGGGAGGGGAGATTCCTACTAAAAGGCAGACAGGCAGAGGTATTTTGAAATAGGCAGAATGGCTGGAACTTGGAGAGAAAGACATATGTAAAATGGAATAGTAAATATATGTTTATATAAACAAGAGGCAGAAAGAGAAAGATGGTGAGCGAGAGTTGGAGAGAGAGAGGTAAGATCTTGTTTGGGTGTTGGTTTTTTCAACAGCCAAAGCAAAAACACATATCATGCAAGGTAATTAGTATTTGCTATCCTTCCAGTTGTTTATTCTTTTCTAGAGTCATTACATTTTACAAAAACTTTGGTTTCAAAAGAATTATGCATTGTTAATTAATTTCAATGAATTTGTTTTCCAACAGTTTTGACAAAGTTTGGGTATTTCACCTTCACCATAGTCATGACGACTATGGTGAACTAACCCAAATTTTGTCAAAACTGTTTTCCAACCATCAAGGGGATAATTTCTATGAAGTAATTTCAATGATTGCTAAATCATTAATGACTTCCTATGTTTGTTTGTTCGATTGTGACTTTCAAGAATGACGTTGTGATATATATTAATAAATAATACATGGCAGGAATTTGTCATTTCCCCACATTGTTTGTGATCAATGTAACTGTTCCATTTCTTGGTATCCTTAATAGAACACCACAAAATGTTCTACAGATCATGTTTTCATCTCTTTCTGAAAGGAAATAACAAGTGAGGTAATAAACAACTGGCCCAGGCTTGTCAACTGAATTCTGAATCCAAGATAACTCAAGCTGAAGTATCCAAATATATTTATATAAAAGGAGTTTTAAGATTTTGAACTTGAGTGAATTTTCATTTTCATTTCATTTCATTTCATTTTTATTTTTTCATTTCCAACAAAATACAATACATAATAACGAATACAATGTAAAATGTATACAAAACATAGTTACATTGGTAATAAACAAATCTTAATAATAATTTATACATTTTAGGAAGACAAAAAAATGAATTTTAAAACTTAATTGCATTTATATTTTGAGAAAATGGAGAGGTCCACTGAAAAGCAAAGCTTGTAAATTGTGGACCCCTCAGATAATAATGAGTGTGAACAAAATATTGAATACATAATCAATTAAAGAAGAATAGTGGCCAACAGAGAACATTTATTAAAAATGTAATGACTGTAAACAAGAAGACGTAACAAATTACATGACTAAGAAAGAACAGAAAAAAAGAAGAAGAAAAAAAAGGGGGGAAAAAAAGGAACAAAAATGCGGGCTGCGTTTGGAGGGAAGGAGAGTGAGAGAAAAGGAAAGTTGTAGAGATCGAGCACGAAATAGGGAGCGCACAAAATCCTTGAGATAGCTGAAACAAAAAGAGCAAGAACATGATGGCAAGTAGCTTTTTGTTTTGAGATGGGCTGAAGAAAAGAGGGAAAGAAAACAAAATTGGGAAGGAGATGTTCTATCACAATAATTTTCTAAATATTATAAGATTGTAATAAGGAAAATTTTAACTTTTTTTTAAAAGCTATTAGTGAAGGGGAAGTTTTCAAATCCTTATGCAAAGTATTTCAAAATTTAGGGCCTTCAAAAATGAACGTGTTCTGTGCAGAACATGTTCTCAAAAGAGGTAAGTGAAACTCATCGGATTGTCGAGTGGGATATCTATGAACAGCATGGTTTTTAAGAAACATATCATTAAACACAGAGGGCAGTATACCTTTATAGTAATTAAACATAAATTGACCGAGCTGAAATAAGTACAAATCCTTAATTTTTAAGATGTTATTTAAAAAAAACAGAGGATCCGTATGGGAGCGTATGGGGGCATTACAGATAATACGAATAACTCTCTTTTGCAGCAATAGAACTCTTTCCAACAATGTATGATGTGTATTGCCCCAAACTAGAAGACCTTAATTCAAATATGGCAAGATCAATGAAGAATACAGCATAAATAATGATAATTGCGGTAAGTACAATTTTAGTCTATTAATAACACCAATATTGCGCGAAATGGTTTTACCAATATTATCAATGTGTGGTTTCCAAGAAAGTTTGTCATCAACTGTTATACCCAAGAATTTGGTAAGAGGGACAAGCCCTTATCATAGTGGAAGATATGAACATGCACGAGGCATACATGAGGCATTATTCTACAATAATAATAAAAGTACATAGGATTTATAAGGTGCTAAATCAACTTAATAACTAAATGCTCAAGGCGCACTAGTGCAAAACATGAAAGTTCATAAACATACTTGTACAAAAATACAATATAACATGATAAGAAGAAAAATCAGATCAACTAAAAGCAAACTGGAAAATACAAGTTTTAGTTGAAAGAAGTGTAAAGGGTGAACAATCTTTAGGCCTGTACAGATTGTGATGGCTGCACCAGAGTTGTTTTTGAAATTTTTCTTGCCAATTTTCCTCCAGAAAATGTATATGACTTTCTTATTGGTGAAGGGATAGCAATTCAAAAGAGGACTATAGCTTCATTGTTACATAAGATTCATTATTTTTTCATTTATTACATAGGTCATAGAATAATTATACGTTTTTACCCCACCCCCTCCTCTCCCCCTCTTATATCCATCATGCCCGTTTTAATTGGAAGCGATCGCTGCGCTGATGCCTGACGGATACACAAACTCACAAAGTATATATTGCATGTGAATAGTATAGCTGTTGTATGAATATAATACGATCTTTACACTTATCAAATTGGCAATTATACACATTGGTGGACTTTGAATCTTCACTTCATGTGTCAAAAACAGCTTCACCTTTTGGTTGCTGCTCAAGCAAGGAAAAATAAATCACGACAAAATATGCAAAGTCGCATATTTCGTCGCTAATTTCACAACAAAGATTCGCGATTTAAAGATTCACGATGTCCCTTCTGGGCCACCAAAGTCTTTGGATTTTTACTTTACATTATGTTTATTTACAATAACTATATTTGTTACTGTACTATCTTCCCCACTCTCTCTCTCTCTCTCTCTCTTTATCATTCTCTCATAAGCCTATCTGTCTTTCTTCATTTTTGTCTCTTTTCCTGTCTCTACTCCTCTTGCTGCCTTTCTCCCTCTCTCAATCATTTTCTTTTAGTTGCTTCATAAATCTCCCATGTGAGGAATTTAACCCCCTCTAGTTAAAGTAAAAATTTGAAATATATTTCTAGCACCAGATCAAATAAATTGCTTATCATTTTGTACCTTCCCACAGACAGGGATTTATAGTTGGTATCTATTTATTTTATTTATTGATTAATTCCAAATATTTTAAGTTCAGATTATTTACCACAATTATAAGTTATGAGAACAATTTCATATTGGGGAGAGGGGGGGGGGGGGGGTGAAAGTGCTTATACAATAGCCTACTGATCTGCTCTTGTGATCAATTTTTAACCATTTTGTTTTTCACTGCATCTTCATATAATATTGTAGTAATTTGAGATAAAGGAAAGACAGCAATTCATAACAAATTATATTTTCCACCAAAAATTTATCTTCAACTGGTATTTTTAATTTATATTTACAAAATACAAATTATTCTTGTGTACATGTATTATCCGCTACATACATGATGTTTTCAATATGACAAAATAGTTTATGTTCTTACTTTGAATAGTTCCATTGTACTTTAAGGTACCAATATGATATACAGTATTTGGCATTTAAGATTGGAAATTCATCATAAACATGTATGTAGATAATCATTAACATGCAGTAATTTAGTGAACCCATGCAAATACATTCTCCAATGAATATGTGACTTTGTGCATGATGTTACATGTATTTCTGCTCAATTGTAAAGACGTTTTTGAAAGGGATATCAACAAATATTATTTCTTGAAAATTAAAACTCATTTCAGATAATATTTATTTGTGGTAAGAATAAATACATAGAAAATACTAATTCTAAAATGGAAATACATTGTGAATTAAATAAAATTCTTTGATAACTGGTCATTAATTATTATTCTGATGTTATGGAATTGTCTGCAAATTTTACTATATAAGCTTTAGTCTAGATTTTCATACGGCTATTACAAACGTGAATATTTTTACGTATTTTGAGTCTGATTGAAAAAAGTACAATAAATTAAGAGAATGATCAATGATTATCTGCTAAGCCTAACTTGTCTATTTATTAGAATAAGGTCATTTGCTGAAGGGTCCTAGGTCAGAGTCCCTGGAGGCCTTCAAGAGTACGTGACTATGCATATCATTAGATAATAAGAACTCGCCATGCGTTTAACAGATACAAACCACACAGGTGTTACATTGGCATGCACTGAACAAATAGTAGGATACCACAATATTATTCTAGAATAAACACCTTTAAAAGGGGAACTGTTAATGCACAGTTCACACCGACGCCGAATGTCGCGCTTTAAATCGGCGATCAATTCGGCGTCATTTTTGTTTACTTTTCAAAAAATCTCACAATCTCCTCAGATATGTTATGCTCTGGGAAGCTCTGACATCTTAACAAAGCGTGTCAATTGGTGACAGAGCGTACAAAGTGGTGTCACCGCTTTGAACCAAGCTCTGTTAAACTCTGTTAAGCTTTCCTACGCTTTGAGCAAAACTTTGATAAGCTTTGTGACGCTTTGATAAGCTTTAATACGCTCTCCCCGCTTTACGCAATTCTTGACAGATCGCCTCAAATTTTTAAACAGTTTAAAAAAAATTGGCGCTCTTGCCGAATGTCCTGAATTGCTCAAAGCTTTCTCACGCTCTATTACGGTCTTTACACTTTAATTAAGCTTTGTTACGCTTTGCCGCCGATTTAATTCGCCATTAATTCGGCATCGGTGTGAACTAAGCATAAGCATTTTACCCATTTTTAACACCTTTTCCATTTTTACTTAAAAGCTAAAATAGTTTCAGATGATCATCAATTCAAGACTAAGAATGACAAAATTGAATAAAATGACATGTATAGCAGAGTGATACAATGGCAATATGCACGAGAATTAATAGGTATATGGACAAAAGCATTATAAAAAGGCAAATTTACAGATGACAAATATACAATTTACAATGAGGGTAGAGACATCGCAAAAGCACTAGACAACAATTCCATCATCACTGTCATATCTTGATCTGTTTGTCTTTGCCATTTCAATAGGGACCAAGTAGTAATCTTTATCTGTGTCTAAGTCTTTATCCTGGCTACTTGTCTTCAGTTCGATCCCATTTCTCTGAAGATTCAGTCTTAATACCTTGTTGTTAATGTAAGATGGATCGCGGCATAGGTCCTTTGGCAGGTCGTAGATGTGAGAGCGAAGGGTCGAGGTATCTCCAGCTTTGGAGACATCAGTCGGACTAGTCGCATGACAGAGGTACTCGTGAGTGGGTAGTTCAACCTGGCTGTCTGTTGCTGTCATACCGGGTTGACGAGATTGAATTGGATTCACTGTCATCCTGTGTGAGCGTTTACAGTTCCTTTTAATGCAGTAGATACAGACAGTCATCAAAATGCAAGTGACAATAATTGCAGAGGCTACAATTATTCCTGTCAGAGCGGCGGTCGATAAAAAAGGTTCCCTGTTACAAGATGACACAAAATCAAAAATTACCTCATTTTTACTGGAGGTAGGTGTGACACAAAGAGTGGATTCTTGTTCAACAATTGTAAGGTTTTGTTGGTCGCGAAGGAGCTTCCATACCTCTGTGTTGTTGCATTTACAATCCCATTGGTTGTTATCTAGTTTGATCTCCTGGATTTCTTGTGGATGGTACTCAAGCCAAGCATCCATGTTGGTCAGGCGATTGACATCCAAGTGCAACACCTGTAGCCTTCTGAGATACTTGAAGACATCACCAGAGAGGCCGGGTATGTCATTGTTGGTCAGGTAGAGTTCTTCTAGGTAATCATAGTGCAGGTGTGAAGAATTCAAAGGTGTGTTTATTAGATTACTTCTGATGTTCAGAACGTGCAGCTTCCTCAGTCCGCCATTTTTTAAAGGTTCTGGCATCTCAATAAGCTGATTGTATCCTAGAAGAAGGTCCGACAGTTTGGTGATTCCATCAAAGGCATCAGAAGACATCTCTGTGATTCTGTTAGAAGTGAGGTTTAGTGTTTTCAAGCTAGGAACATCTGACAAATATGAATCAATTCTTCTTAGCTTATTGTCATCAAGGCGTAGATCTTCCAGTTTTTCTAACCCTTCAAAAGCCCTGTTTGAAATGCTGCTTATTTGGTTGCCTTGAAGATAAAGGTTTTTCAGTTTAGGCAGAGACTGAAATACATCAGAGTCAAGACTTACTATTGAATTTTCCGATGCATCCAGTTGTTCCAGTGCAGGGAAGTTTTGCATGGCATTTCTTCCAATCTCAGTGATGCCATTATCGGAGAGAGTCAGTGTCTTTATGTTAGTACTTCTATTTAGGTGGCTAAAAGAGACTGAAGACAGAGCACGCAAGTTTCCATTTTGAATGGTCAGTGTCATACATTCTGTTGGTATAGATTGAGGAATTTCAGCATAGATACAGCTTGGAGTAGCACTAGTTGAAATTACCAAAGCTATTGCCAGGAAGACAATCCGCACAACTTCATGCAGTGCAGAATTGATCAGGTACATGTTGTTGAGATGAAAGTAATATCGAGCAGAAAAAGTTTCTTCAGGGAATGGAGATTGATACATGTGGTTTACGAAAAGCAGGGAATATTGATGCAAGATGAAAGTCAAAACTATTACTACTCTCACAATCTGGCTTACCAGTACAACACAACGATGGTGATAGATAATGACAGGATTGAGGTATTTGTCTTTCCTTTTATGCAAAAAAGTGCAATGCAGAAAAAGAAGACACCAACCCATAGAGGGCGAGAAAGAGAAAGGAAGAGAGAATGTGATGTCATTGTAAACAGCAAACCAAAACGTGATCTATTTTCCAGGACATGAGATAAGCTTTCACAAACAATGCTAACGAGAAGTATAAAAAGAATCAGGAAGGCTTGCTTCCTGGCTTCAAAGTTAATGGGTTATTCAGGTCTATTTTTATGCCTCCGCCACCGAAGGTGGTGCCGGAGGCATCATGTTTTCGGGTTGTCCGTCCGTACGTCCGTCCCGTTTGACCGTTATCACAATATCTCAAGAACCATTTAAGATTTAAACTTAAGACTCGGGAATAGTATTTATCACCATAGGAAGACGATCTGATTAGATTTTGGAGTACGTAGGTCAAAGGTCACAGGTCACAGAGGTCAACTTATGAAATCCCTTGTATTGAGTTTGTTAGCGCGATATTTCAAGAACCATTTGAGATTTAAACTTCAAACTTAAGGATAGTATGTATCACCATAGGAAGACGATCTGATTAGATTTTGGAGCACGTATGTCAAAGGTCAAGGGTCACAGAGGTCAACTTATGAAATTCCATACATTGAGATTGTTATCATGATATCTCAAGAACCACTGGAGATTTAAACTTCAAACTTAGTGATAGTGTGTATCACTATAGGAAAACAATCTGATTAGATTTTGGAGCACGTAGGTCAAAGGTCAAGGGTCACAGAGGTCAACTTATGAAATTCCATACATTGAGATTGTTATCAAAATATCTCAAGAACCACTGGAGATTTACATAAACTTCAAACTTAATGATAGTGTGTATCACCATAGGAAGACAATCTGATTAGATTTTGGAGCACGTAGGTCAAAGGTCAAGGGTCACAGAGGTCAACTTATGAAATTCCATACATTGAGATCGTTATCGCGATATCTCAAGATCACTGGAGAATTTTCACTTCAAACTTAATGATAGTATGTATCACCACATCATAATATCTCAAGAACCACTGGAGATTTAAACTTCAAACTTAATGATAGTGTGTATCACCATAGGAAGACAATCTGATTAGATTTTGGAGCACGTAGGTCAAAGGTCAAGGGTCACAGAGGTCAACTTATGAAATTCCATACATTGAGATTGTTATCATGATATCTCAAGAACCACTGGAGATTTAAACTCCAAGCTTGTTTAAATTGCTCTATGGCGGAGGCATCATTTTCGACTGCGCGCAGTCAAAATTCCATCTAGTTATGTTTAATTTAGCTTATAATTGATTACCATAACATTTCATGTCTTTACCTTTCCTATTGCACTCTGTATAAATGTATCATGTACATATTTCATCTTTTGCACAAGCTGCGCCTTGAGCATTTGACTGTCAAGTGGATTTGGCGCCTTATAAATTTTATGTATTACCTTTCCACACACCTAAAAAGCATGCCCTTGTATGCTAGATGAATTTTTGTAGTAGACGACATTGAGATTCAGGCTGTTTCATGATCAACCATTCATTTTTCTTCATATATAATTCTAGTGTATCTGACTCTGTAGTTTTGTAGAATATCCTAGATCTAACTGCCTTCCATTCATCTGGAATCACTGTCTCCTTCTCTCTCTATATATATATACAGTGTGTCCCAGAAAAAACGAAACAGAGAATTATCAATGTTTTATCATAACTTAAAGTAGCTTGGCGAAGAAATTCCACATAATCACTCAAAATGGGCAAATTATGCATGTCCGGATAGCGTAGACCTATTTGAACACACACATTCTGCTCTAAAGTCTTGTAAATATAAATGAAACGCGGTAAGAAGCTTTTTCCAAGAACCTTCTCAAACTTCTATTCCTGGCTTGAACAGTTTGTTCGCGCAGTAGGCCGATTATGACGCCACTGGTTTGGCACGATCGCAATTCTAGGCCTCAAGCTCGCCTCTCGCACAGCTCGCGTGCGGTATTTTGCATAAGCCTATACGTATACATTATCCAGACTTTGCATGCTTCATATCCTGACCAGAAAGTGGAATAACAATCTCTAGAAATCATGTAATTACATATAATATTAAGCAAATTTATGTTATATAATACGAGGGGTGAATCGTGCAATTCGATTTGTCCAAATACCCTTCCGTTCTGTGTAATTTGCCGAGATGTTTTGCATTTGTTCGGTCATCGTGCCTTGGCGTGATAGTGATTGCTGTTGATTATATACGGAGACCATAATATTATGATGAGTGAATCACGAGCGTCCCTTTGCACTTTTATGTCCTGCAGCTGCAGTTCTATATGAATGGTGCATATTTGTAATAGATTTTCGCCAAATATAACCTCACATCTAATCGTGTATGTTTTGTTATCCGTGAAATTTGCTAAAAAAGCCCTACACATCCCGAAAAATTCGAAAAATGTCTCGCCCAGTCACCCCAGTGACAAGGTGCATGGCAGATCAATCGCGAGTTGAGCGGGGCCGGTGGAGCTGAGCGGCAGCTGGCAGCTCAGCTGATATATTATCACTGGACTTGCACCAGCATCGACGCCGTCTTTTCCGAATTGTTCTCTTTTTTCCATCTCTCCTACACCCCCATCATCATCATCCTCACTATCAGTACCACTGTCACTAGTTGTGGAGCTGTGCTCATCATCTTCGAATTCTAAATCAAGTAAAACCTCTTCTTCGAGCTCGGACATTTTGATCAGATATTTAGCGTTCGAGTGGCGTTTTTGTATATGTATAATGCAAGCAGGCTAGAGTTGTGTGAGAGCTCTTGGGAGCACTCTCGCGCTCATGTGCCCAACCTCCTACGTCACAAATCGTACGTCACAATAGCGGGCCGATCGAGGGCGGAATAATCGGGTAGTAATTTCACCACTTTTAATAGCAGATAAGTCAATTCTGTAACATTTTTTGATAACTAAATATGAACCATTAGAAAGATTGTAACATTAACTTTGCAATGATACCATTATTAAGGTTAAAAGCCTTCTGAAACCTTCGCTCAGCTTCATTAATCACAATTATAATGAATAAATTACATATATTTGTAAAGCTTAGATTACCCTCTTTCATTTGATGCAACTCATTTGATGCATATTTCACGCATAAGTGATTAAAATCAATTTGAAGAAAGGGTACCAAAAAAGTCATTTGGCAGACGGTATCTGAATTTCAAAGAGAAAATCACATTTATTGAAAGTTCATTTTCTGCCCTTTCATATGACACCTCAATCTGGAAAATGAGCTAGGAATAACAAAGTTCTGTTTTTTTTAAAGTAATGCTTGCATTTCCATAATTTTATTAATCAAATTTGTTTTCACTGGCTGCCTGCCATAGCAACAAACAGAGTTGGCAAAAGGTTTAACTCCGTTTCATGACAATCAGCCATGCACAAATGTCTTTCGTCTGGAATTGAACTGTATTGAACCTTATTTGCATATACATACTTCTACTTTAGTTTTACTTCTACTCTCGATATACCTGTAAAATTACTTTGAAAATATGTACTTAAAATTATGTTCATCAAAATGTATGTTAATTCTAAAATGAAAGACTCAACTGAGCATCTTACATTGTCCTTGAATTGAATTTTTATATAAGCAGGTACATGTTAGTGTTAGAAATTGATTTGATTTAATTATCTCAATTTATTTAGGTCATTGAAAAAATATTGTTGCTTTGGGTTTGTTTACATGCCATACATGATTGTTATTTTCTTAATGCCACAAAGTTCAACATACATGTAATCTTTCTATAAGTTTTTTTAAATTATTATTCTTGATGGATGTACTTGAATTCTATTATTTTACCTTTACTTCTTCAATCTATTCACATGTAACCCCAGCCAGCGGACTTGGAGAACCTCATGACAGAATGAAAATTCTTTTAGGTAATCCTCAGGCGTCCGTCTGCTGGTGGCATTTTAACTGTCTTGTAAGGTGTTGTCATTTCTATTTTGTTAATACATGTACCGGGAAATTCAATAAATAGAATACAACAATAAAGAACATACAATTTGTATATACAATGTACATTAATAATCCCCTTCTATCTGTCTACACATAAGTCTCCCATCTGTTTTCATCTTATTTTCCTTCTTTTCCTTTCTCTCCTGCTTCCTCTTCTTGTGTTTCTATCTCTTTCTCTCTACACATATGTCTCTCATCTGTTTTCATCTTCTTTTCCTTCTTTTCCCTTCTTTCCTGCTTCCTCTTCCTATGTTTCTATCTCTTTCTCTCTACAGGTATGTCTCCCTTCTGTTTTCATCTTCTTTCCTTCTTTTCCTTTCTCTCCTGCTTCCTCTTCCTATGTTTCTATCTCTTTCTCTCTACACATATGTCTCCCTTCTGTTTTCATCTTCTTTTCCTTCTTTTCCCTTCTTTCCTGCTTCCTCTTCCTATGTTTCTATCTCTTTCTCTCTACAGGTATGTCTCCCTTCTGTTTTCATCTTCTTTTCCTTCTTTTCCTTTCTCTCCTGCTTCCTCTTCCTACGTTTCTATCTCTTTCTCTCTACACATATGTCTCTCATCTGTATTCATCTTCTTTTCCTTCTTTTCCTTTCTCTCCTGCTTCCTCTTCCTATGTTTCTATCTCTTTCTCTCTACACATAAGTCTCCCATCTGTATTCATCTTCTTTTCCTTCTTTTTCTTTCTCTCCTGCTTCCTCTTCCTATGTTTCTATCTCTTTCTCTCGACACATATGTCTCCCTTCTGTTTTCATCTTCTTTTCCTTCTTTTTCTTTCTCTCCTGCTTCCTCTTCCTATGTTTCTATCTCTTTCTCTCTACACATAAGTCTCCCATCTGTTTTCATCTTCTTTTCCTTTTTCTTTCTCTCCTGCTTCCTCTTCCTATGTTTCTATCTCTTTCTCTCTACACATATGTCTCTCATCTGTTTTCATCTTATTTTCCTTCTTTTTCTTTCTCTCCTCTTCCTATATTTCTATCAGACTCTCTTCCTCCTGCTATTCATATGCTCATTTTCACTCACTTTTCCTTGTGCCTCTATCCTTCTTTAACTCCCCCTTCCTCTCCCCTCTTTCTCTCTCTTTCTCTTTCCTTCTCCCCCCCCCCCCCTCTCTCTCTCTCTCTCTCTCTCTCTCTCTCTCTCTCTCAGTTTTTCTCCCCTTTGTGTCTTATCTTCACTCATGCTTTCTTTACCGTCTGTGTTTCTATGAATTCCATTCTATTTGTCCAATATATTCTGTATGTGATCAAGTATCAAACTCATTCTCTCTCTTGTCCAAAATGTATTATTTCACTCCCTATATTACATATTCTTTTTCTTTGCACTTCTTTCAACCTCTTTCTTTTCAATCTGACACATTTCATGTTCCTATTCTTTTACCACAATCTTTCCCATTCTAATGCATACAAGCCTTTCTTCTTTATTTCTACATCTCCTCTCCTTGTTACTTTTAATTGGTTATCTTTTGTTAGAAATTAGGAACATGCCATTTAAATAAAGTCACATGTGCTTACATTATTCATCTTTCAATTATTACTTTTATTCATACTTCTAATCTTAAAATAATTTTACAACAACAACAATGAATTACCGAAAATAACATGGGGGTTGTTTTTATGCAATAGCATTACATGTTGATCATATTGATTTGGGAATGTCATATTGCTTTATCATCTGCAAACAAAACAAAAAAAACACACAAGAGAAAATTGCAGAAGACTTGATAATGTGATTGATTAACATAGTAAACAGGAGGGTTCAATGATTACTCCCTGTAGAACACAACATTTCATGTGCAGTGTTTTATATGGATGTAAGTCAACCTTTGTATATTAAAAATAAATATATTTGTAAGTATTTTGATATTTTAATATATTCTTACTATCAACTCAGTGATTTAGGGTATATACACTTGTTAGAGATTTAAATAAACAACTTTGTTTGCTTTATTACTGTTTGGGTATCTTACCATAAATGTATAGTGTTGCTAGGTCTGTTAATAATGTAATTTAAAAAATTTACCTGTATCTTAAATTTCAATTAGTAGAGTACAAAATTATTTACATTATAACAAATTACACAACTTTGAATTAGTCGTTACAAGTAGTACTGCCAATTATTAGAAATTGCATGAATGCTTTAATTACTTTATGCATGTACTGATAGTTAAAACATGATTTGCAACCAAAATATTGTGTTGTATAATCAATTAACAGCAATTACACTCTATAGAAAGTGAAAGAAATTGAGTATTACCAAAATAATATAGCATCAAGAGACAAGAAATGAGTTTCTGAATTCACATAATTGATCTTTCAAAGCAAAAAGTCTATTACTTCTGTTCATTGTGAATGATTTAATCAGACTTGGCTGTGGGAGAATCAGAGTGGGTGAGCAGAGAGTATATACATGCATACATGCATATATGCTTCACATGAAGTTTTTCCAGTGCACAGAAAACAACACATCCCTTGTTGATACAACTTTATCCTAAATAAAATGAGGTTTCCAAAGTAAATTATAGATTTTCAGAATATTAAATGATCAATTTAAATTGTAATTATTTGCTATATCTTTGTGTGATGTGTTACTCTCTGACATCCTCCCTACAAGACCAGGTTAAAAAAATTGTTCTATCGATACAGGAAAACTAGATTTAATAGCTCTCATTTCCTTCTGTTAGTTGACATGATAAATGTTGATAGAATCTTTAGCGGTAGCTCAACTCTTTAGAGGATATGATATCAACTGTATTTGTAATGAGGCAAAAGACATGGTGAGATAAAGCGATAGAGCATTAGATAACAATTCCATCTGTCATTTGATATCATTTTGTCTTTATTCCATGGCCATTGGGACCAAGTAGTTATCTGAGCTGAACTTTGGCTGCTGTGGCTGGTCATAATTGTCTCCATCTGAGATCACCGGCCTGATGTTTCTAGGAGTAGGAAAACGAGAGCGCTTGAACCAACTCTCGGGGGTTTCCATATCGGGCTGAGCTGAGGATGCAAGATTCATTGTCTTCTTCTTGTGGAAGCATTGACAATTTTTCCAACAGCAACAGATACAGGCAGGTATCAGAAGACCGGCAAAAATGACTGCAGAGGCTGCAATTATTCCTATAAAAGTAGGGCTTAGTCCACTTTCACAAGATGACACTAAATCAAAAGTTACCTCTTTTTTTCTGGAGATAGGTGTGGAACAAAAAGTGGATTCTCGTTCAAGAATTATAAGGTTTTGTTGGTTGTCAACGAGCTCCCATACCTCTGTGTTGTTGCATTTACAATCCCATTGGTTGTTATCCAGTTTGATCTCCTGGAGTTCTCGTGGATGGTACTCAAGCCAAGCATCCATGTTGGTCAGGCGATTGACAATGGCAATATGCACGAGAATGAATAGGTATATGGACAAAAGCATTATAAAAAGGCAAATTTACAGATGACAAATATACAATTTACAATGAGGGTAGAGACATCGCAAAAGCACTAGACAACAATTCCATCATCACTGTCATATCTTGATCTGTTTGTCTTTGCCATTTCAATAGGGACCAAGTAGTAATCTTTATCTGTGTCTAAGTCTTTATCCTGGCTACTTGTCTTCAGTTCGATCCCATTTCTCTGAAGATTCAGTCTTAATACCTTGTTGTTAATGTAAGACGGATCGCGGCATAGGTCCTTTGGCAGGTCGTAGATGTGAGAGCGAAGGGTCGAGGTATCTCCAGCTTTGGAGACATCAGTCGGACTAGTTGCATGGCAGAGGTACTCGTGAGTGGGTAGTTCAACCTGGCTGTCTGTTGCTGTCACACCGGGTTGACGAGATTGAATTGGATTCACTGTCATCCTGTGTGAGCGTTTACAGTTCCTTTTAATGCAGTAGATACAGACAGTCATCAAAATGCAAGTGACAATAATTGCAGAGGCTACAATTATTCCTGTCAGAGCGGCGGTCGATAAAAAAGGTTCCCTGTTACAAGATGACACAAAATCAAAAATTACCTCATTTTTACTGGAGGTAGGTGTGACACAAAGAGTGGATTCTTGTTCAACAATTGTAAGGTTTTGTTGGTCGCGAAGGAGCTTCCATACCTCTGTGTTGTTGCATTTACAATCCCATTGGTTGTTATCCAGTTTGATCTCCTGGAGTTCTTGTGGATGGTACTCAAGCCAAGCATCCATGTTGGTCAGGAAATTGACGTCCAAGTGCAACACCTGTAGCCTTCTGAGATACTTGAAGACATCACCAGAGAGGCCGGGTATGTCATTGTTGGTCAGGTAGAGTTCTTCTAGGTAATCATAATGCAGGTGTGAAGAATTCAAAGGTATGTTTATTAGATTACTTCTGATGTTCAGAACGTGCAGCTTACTCAGTCTGCCATTTTTTAAAGGTTCTGGCACCTCAGTAAGCCGATTGTATCCTAGAAGAAGGTATGACAGTTTGGTGATTCCATCAAAGGCATCAGAAGACATCTCTGTGATTCTGTTAGAAGTGAGGTTTAGTCTTTTCAAGCTAGGAACATGTGACAAATATGAATCAATTCTTCTTAGCTTATTGTCATCAAGGCGTAGATCTTCCAGTTTTTCTAACCCTTCAAAAGCCCTGTTTGAAATGCTGCTTATTTGGTTGCCTTGAAGATAAAGGTTTTTCAGTTTAGGCAGAGACTGAAAAACAGCAGAGTCAAGACTTACTATTGAATTTTCTGATGCATCCAGTTGTTCCAGTGCAGGGAAGTTTTGCATGGCATCTCTTCCAATCTCAGTGATGCCATTATCAGAAAGAGTCAGTGTCTTTATGTTAGTACTTGTAGTTAGGTGGCTAAAAGAGACTGAAGACAGAGCACCCAAGTTTCCATTTTGAATGATCAGTGTTGTGCAATTGATCGGTAAAGACTGAGGAATTCCATGATAAATGCAGATATCACTGGCTTCACCAAACTCCAGAAAAGGTAGTAGCAGATAAACAAGCCAGATGAGGTGGTACAACATACTATTCTTCAGATAGTACATATTGCTTGGAGATGGTTAAGTACTGTGGTTCAAGATTTCCAGTTATGAAACCAAAGATTTAGACATCCAAGGGGCTGAATAATAAATTCTACTGTCACTTTGTAATGAGATGGTGCAACGAGATCCGCTCCTAATAACATATGCTTTCTTTCGATGGAAATACTTTATTTTATGTCGGTCACAAGCTTTATGCCTCGTAGCTTCACCTCTATGAAATCTTTGCAAGAAGTGTCAGCAATATAACATTTCATCTAACTCTCATACTAAAAAAATAATTTCAATATCAATTGATATGCACTGATTAGTAGACCACAGTGAGAGAGAAAGAGAAAGAGGAAATAGAAATGATGTAATGGCCTTGCCTATAATTTGTAGCTCCATAAACAAACCAAGGATATGGGCAAACAATCGCATGGCTTACTTCCTAATATGTTTGTCAGGCTTACCACAATGTTGTTCTCTCAAAGTATGCTTTCTAGTTTCCAAGTTAACAGCTCATTCTAATCCATTGTTGATGACAATTAAATTATAACTTGAACAAAATATTACTTTTGATAAGATCACTATTGTAATTACCCTTAGTTTACTGCCACAAATTACAACTTTTTGAAGGGGGAGAATATTTATTATTAATATTATTATTAAAGGCCCTATCTGATGAAAATACAACTTGATATGAAATACAAGGAAGAATAAAGAAGCATAGGTTTTCTGTTTGTTTCAAAGGAGAGTAACCTACCAAATGATAAATTTATATATGTTTGAAAACATAAATCGCCCGAGAAGAAATTAAGGAAATCGATTTGATACGTGTTAACCTGTTAATGCACTTTTGCTTTGTTTATTTTTCTATTTCAAGTGAATGGCATTTGACTACCGGTTGGCTAAAAAAAAAAAAAAAAAAAAAAAATATTGATGAAATGTTGAGGATCGTGCCTTAGTATTGCATCCTCTGCCTGTTGTGACAGTAATGAATTGAGGGTACCGGTAACCTAGTTTTTTCACAGATAAGTACAGTACCCATGTGTACTTTTATGTTGTAAAAAAAATATAGGCCCTGCCCTCTGGAAAATAAGATCATCCAAAGTCATGAACTTGTCAGTGGTGGTTAATCATGCCCTGTAAAGCCAGAAAATTAAAAATCTTGATAAAAAAGGACCTCTTGTGACTTTCCCGTCGGCAAGTTTTTTCTTGCTCCTCATGCTTTTAAATCTGAATAAATACTTTAAAATATTCTTTTGTTCCATTTTAGACAGAGAATGAATATTCTTGTCCTATTTTATCTTGCAACAAAACCAGGTGAATGCATTTCTGGAATAAGCTCCCCCCCCCCCTCCCCCTATGAATGCTATTTCATTCCAGATTCAATAATTATGCAAAGAATTATACGAAACAGTTTCCTTTTGTTTATTTTTGATAATTTTTAGTATTTCATTTATTGAAACAGAGAAGGTTGTTTTATTTTACAATATGTTGTCTATCTATGCGAAAAAAGATAAAGAGAGAGAGAGAGAGAGGAGACAGGGCGTGGGGGGGGGGGGGGGGGGTAGTAAGACAGGGGAGGAATAGGCAAGAAAAATACTACAAGTTAAAGATTTCTTCAACCATCATGGCACCCCTGTCAAAGTATCGAACTTTGAGTGATCTAAAAAAGAAAGGAGGCTTTCAGTTACACCATGTAATAGTCAAACTGAAAAGGCTAGCTGTTGATGTATTATTTGTCTATTAAAAGAACCGGCTTATAGGGCATTTAGAGGAATTGAGGAGGAAGTATAAGGGAAAGAAAGGGAGAGATTATAATGGAATGGAGTTTTATTAAATACTTACACAAGACTTTTTGGGGGTGGTGATGTGTACATCCAAAATGAGATGAAATATAAGGAGGAAAGGAAAGGAAAGGAAAGAAGGAATAATTGAGATCGAGAAGGCTGTGAACTGATAAAAGTTCAAGAGTTAAAAATGAAACATGTAGTTCTAAAAGCACTACTACAGTATTCTTTCGTGAAAAGGAGTTTATCTGTTAGGAGATTAATCCCTCAATTTGTTAATACTAACTCACCATATTAGAAACCTGTAGATAACATTTTAATGATTCCTTTTATTCATTTCAAACATTTTTATCTTCTTGATATCGGCGTGGAATTTTTTCTATCAAAGATTCCAGAGAATCATTTAAGTCTCCTTCTAGGCTGGACAAACTTTTTCCTGTAATTCTGTAAGGTCACAATGTAAAGCCGTCTACTTGCTAGAAGCTAGACTGACGTACAGGAATGACTATCCAATCACAGGATATGGATAGGAAGACTTCCTAGTAGAGTCAATCACTAGTACAAGGCTACAAGCAAAGGTTATTGTTTTAATCAAGTGTCTGTACAGGTTTTGCAAATTCACTCTATTTTTGTTTTGTTTTGGTTGAGATGTAGTGGGTTCACAGGTACCATACTGGTGGGAATTTATTGTCTGTAAAGGTGTTTGTGAATTAATTCCCTTTTCATGAGAAATCCACATGTAAGAGGTTATGATGTATAAGCATAGTCATAATTAGATGAAAGGTGATTGTTTTGTTTCAAGACACATTTTCCTGCTACATTTAATCCATGATGAAGTTTCTTAACCAACCAAAAACACTTTCAATTTTCATTATATGGGTGAACATGCATGGCAATCAATTGATTAAAGGTAATTTTTTATTTTACAACATATGCACCTGCAACAATTAATAGTCAACCAAATTCCCTAATTCAGCCCTCGAAGAACACCACCTAACTTACCCTGACATTAAACCTAACCTAGTAACCAAAAACTGACCTGTCAAGGTTCTTTAAATCTAACCTTATATCTTTGACAATTAAGCCTAGAGAAATTGTTGGCAGAGTAAATGTTGAACCACGTACTCTGTTATATTGACTGAACGCATTGTTTGAATGGAAAAATGATAGGAGCATGCCTTGTTTATAGACGTGGACAATAGCCACAAACAAATACCACATTCAGTGTTCATTATATGGGTGAAAATAGCAATCAATTAATTAAAAGTAACTTTTTATTTACAACACATGCTCCTGCAACAATTAATAGTCAACCAAATGCCCAAATTCATCAGCTATGACCAACACTGCCTACATGTAACCTTGACATTAAACCTAACCTACCGTAACTAAATTAAAACCAACCTGTCAAAGTAATGTAAATCTAACCTTTGACAAACACCTAGAGAAATTGTTGACAGAGCAAATGTTGAACCACCTACTCTTGTATATTGATTGAACGCATTATTCAATGAATTGCAATAAAAAGGGGAAAATGATACAAGCATGCCTTGTTTGTTGCCTTGGACAACAGCCACAAACTAATACCACAATTTTATCTAAAGGCAGTGACTTATTTCCTTGTCTGGTTTGAAAGTATAGTGTTTAAATATGTATTTCTTATGGTAAAAAGGGAAATTCAATATTAGACGGGCGTAAATGAGTCATTCTGTAGTCAGTCATGTGTATTGAACTATCACCTTTATATCAGTGTTGTAAATTTGAAAACAAATTGTTGTGAATTCTTATTCAAGCTTCAGAGAATTTTGATTCAAGTTTATAAAAGAGCACATCCCCCAATAAGTTGTTCTTGCATTACATTAGAAAAGATATGGGGAAGAAAGTATTTTCTATATAGTGGGAACTGCTACTTTATATTTACTGTTAGCCTTCTGATTTTGTGATCTGCAGTGGGTGATGATTACATTGAGAAACATTTGAACAGGTCTAAGCCCACTGCATCCTATTATTGCTATTAATACATGTATGCCCAACTCTGGCTTTATTCTGTTGTAAATTCTAACCTAACCAAATTATCTATAATTATTATCTACCAGGAAATATTGATGTGAGTCTGCAGTTGTTCCCAGAAATTGTTCCTACCAGAAACGTTATTCAGTAGAATGTGGTCATTAAAGAGATTTTTGTAGATAAAGTAGCATCTCTGGGGCTTGTTGGTTTAGTTAGTTTATATGGTGCCCCTTATGAACAAATATGCATCAACATACAACTTAAAGACAAAATAAAGACTACTGTCTACAAAAATGTTACGTGTGACAGAGTTCAACTAATGACATTTTCATACCACCACCATTAAATTATAAGGGAAAAAAATACTTTAAAAATTTCGGGGGGTACTTTTCAAGCTTGCTTGCATGAAAATATACTCTTTAATTTGTTTTTCATTGAACTCTATGCAAAAAAATTTGGGCTCTTTTATGACTTCCAGGGGCTCTTTTTAGCATTTTGGGGGCTAATTCGCGCCGAGCCCCCATTATTTTTTTTCAACTGACCACCAAGCCCCTTGTTTAAGATACACAGATGTCCAAAATCAATAATTAATTTGTTTAATTGAACTAATCAGAATACAACGAAGACATGTTCATTAATGGCTGTTTGATCATCAGATCCTTTTTAAGTTGTTGGTATGTATCATAGTGCCTCTAAAAATGGATTCACTCTTGCAGAACATTGTTGCTATGTCGGTCAAGTCACAATCTTTTGACAACCTTGACCACTTCAAAGCTTCACTCAAAACTCACATCTTCCTTAAGACATTTAAATGCTAACTTTATTGGAGGAACTCGCACCTTCGAATGTTTTTGAAACAGATAAATGGCGCCATACAAATGCTGTGAATCATCATCATCATCATGTGTGCATATGATTTGCAACCAAATGTAACATATCAGTATAGCTGAGCTTTGTCTTTACTTGTATATATCCAGCAGATCATCAGACAGAAGAGGACTTCCGTCTGCTTTTTGAGTGCAGTCCAGAGAAGCGAGATAAGAAAGGTGAACCTTCAAGCTCAAGGGGGCATCTCAATCATACCAAAGACAGTGAAGGTAGTGATTCAAAACTGAAGAAAGAATCAAGGGACTATGGAGAAAGGGAAGGAGGAGTGGATGGGGAGGGTCACATATCTGATGCGTTGCCATGGGAACAAGGAAATGGAACCAAAGAAAGTTCCTACAGCTGCACCTTCGCTGATAGTGATGGAGTTCTCTCTGATTCTGATGAATCCCATTCTGGTGCGGAGGGAGATAATCATAGCAATGACATCCTTTCCTTCAAAGATGGACGAACAAAGAGTGTGAAGAAGATCAAATGTAAAGCAGGTCACAAAAGTAATCGTCTGAAGATTGAGGATGATGATGAGAGGACAAGAGAGGATCAGTCATCTGGAAGTGATGATGATGATGAAGGTTTAGTGGAAGGAGAGAAGGAAGGAAGGCAAGAAGAAGAATACCAGGAGGAGTCTCAGCCCGTTAACCCTTCCCAATCCTCTACCAATGATGGCAGTATGGCGCTCTTTTCAGATGACTCCCATCCAGGGGACAGCCAGAGGAGTGGAGGATCACTCTCTTCAACCAACTGGTTGCAGTATCTACCTACCATGCAGCAGGTAAGTCAACCAAATCAGGCAAATGGAGTTTATTTAATTATAAAGGGTTATGAATGGATGGATAGCTGGCTGGAGGTGGTTAGATAGATGGAATGATAGATAGATAGATGGAAAGAAAAGAAAGAATAAGAAGGAGAATAAGAAATTTAAGGACAGAGAGATGAGTGAGAGAAAGAGAGAGGAGATAAGAAGAGGAGGGGTGGAAACAAAGATAGAGAGAGGAGAAAGAGTTAGAAAGAGAGATAAATAAATAGAGAGAGAGAGAGAGAGAGAGAGAGAGAGAGAAAGAGACCAACATGCGATCCGTGAATGATAACAGGAAGCTAATAGAAAATAGCTAATGTTATGATTTGTTTGACCTCCTTTTTCAGATAGAGGTTTTATACAAATGCTGCATCACTGTGGTTTTTAAAATGAAAGTAAACATGCTCACATCCTTAATATATGAACAAAAAAATGAAAAGTCCTTGCCCCTTCTAAAAATAAAAGTTGGTTTATGAAATATGATAAACTATTCTATGGAATAGTGAAAAGGGAATTTCAATTCAAAACTGAAGGGGGTATTCTTATGTGGTTGTCAACAAAAACATTTAATTTTGAACAATTAGTTATTTCTTCCAATTATTAGATAGGTCTAAATGAAATATGTTGGAGAAAAAGAAATCAGAAGTCAAAATACTTTCATCAAATTTTTCTTTTGAAAGACTTAAAACAACACTTTAAAAAAAAAAAAAAAATATATATATATATATATATATATATATATATATATATATATATATATATATATATATATATATATATATTTGTTCATTTTAGGCATTGTATATAATTATAACTTAAAATGAACAAAAATGTACATTAGGATTCTTCTCTTGGCATATGTAAAAAACATACATTTATTTTTGTTCTCAGTCATTGAAACTAGAAATGCATGAATTTCATCAGATTTGCTCAAAAGTCTCACAGCATGGCATATTTATTGAAACCTGTGTTGTAGATATTCACTAACACTGTAAGCAACTTAAACAAGTCATCTCTACAAAAGTATGCAAGACAGAAGATTTGATATCGATCGGCCAAATGATATCAAGACTAATGTCATGGAGATAGATTGTGATGTATGAAATAAATATTGATGAACATGTGAACAAATGTTTGTTTGTGGTCTGGTGAATGGTATAGTCAGAGATCATCCCTGATATATAGTAGTGCCTGATGGAAATTTTATAGGAGCCTGTTCTGATAATAAACAGAGAGGGCATAGTTTGTACAGCAGTTTAAACATTGAAGCATAGAGTTGTTTTTAGTAAAACCTTACAGGCCAGTATAATTATGTTCTTTTCTTCTCTTTTTCTTACTTCCTTTCCAACTTTCAAGTTTCAACTCTCTGGCTCTTCCATATTCTTCCCATTTTCTTCCATTTATCTTTCTTATTGTGTTTCACTTTGTCATCAACTAACTTCATTTCATTTTCACAAATTTCTTTCTTTGTCTTCTCTCTCTCTCTCTCTCTCTCTCTCTCTACCCTCCTTTCACTGTCTTCTTTATTCCCTTCCTTTTTTGTATACATCTTTGTCTATTTTATATTTTGATTTTTCCTTATACCCTCTTTTTTCTACTGTTCCTTAGTAGATATACATCACCATGCAAGCCGATACTTATAAGCAACACCTGTTCCTTATTTACTTTGGTTGTTCACACTCTTCTTCCTTCTGCACTTTGCTCTCTTACCGCCATCATCCATTTGTTGCTCATTTCCTTCAATTTCCCCTTTTTTTGTAGATTATTTATAATACTTATATGTACCGAGAATAACAATTGTCCCTTTCCCACCAATTTTCCTCTCTGACTCAGACTCTAACCAAGACTCCTCCAACTCAGGAGAAAGAGGATGATGACAGACTGGAGGTAATAGGAGACGTTGCACATAAGGATACTGGGCGTGGTCATCATGATAACAACCCCTCATCTCCCATTCTCATCAGTGATGATGATGATGTGATCGAGTCAGACTCTGACGCAACCCACATCTGCTCTCAGCGTTCTGTTCGATCAGAAGGGTCATCGGTCAATGACATCAAGGTCATTTCGATGACCCCAAGTAAACACAACCTTTCCCCTGGATGCTCCTTGAAAACAAGAGGGTTTAACAATGGTGGTGCCAATTTGAAGCAGCTGGAGAAATACAGATCTGGTATTGAAAATGCTCCTAACCATAGCAGAACTGACACAAGCACTCAACCAAGTAGTGTTGCAATAGATAAACTTTCCAATGTAGGAAGTGGAGGATCCAGGTATGACAATGTTATTGAAGATGCTTCTTCTCTAGAGTCTGTGATTGAGATAACTAGCTCTTCATAATATCTTCTGTTGAGATACAGTCAGAAGGGCATTCATTCTACACAGTAGGCTTGCGGGTGCACCATGTGAGGATCCAGGTATGACAATGTTATTGAGGATGCTTCTTCTCTGGAGTCTGTCATTGAGATAACTAGCTCTTCATAATATCTTCTGTTGAGATACAGTCAGAAGGGCATTCATTCTACACAGTAGGCTTGCGGGTGCACCATGTGAGGATCCAGGTATGACAATGTTATTGAGGATGCTTCTTCTCTGGAGTCTGTCATTGAGATGACTAGCTGTTCATAATATCTTCTGTTGATATACAGTCAGTCAGTTAACACCCTCCTGGCTGTCAGTAGACACTATAGATATGACGATTCATTTACTAGGCTGATCAATCAATGAATGTGTCCTTTTTGAAGCTCAGCAATCATTGCCCTATAAATAATAGAATGTCACATTATTTATGATTTTATTTATATTGAGTGGTATATTTGAGAGTCACATTTTTGCCAAAGTATATCAAACTATTCAGAGTAAAAATATGTTATTTATGTATTTTTTGAAATCATATTTTGAATTTGTATTTTATAATTTTCTATAATTCATGATCAACTATTCAAATGTCATTTAGTGTTAATAAATTGCATTTCAGGTGGACTTTGTATTCTTTGAAAATCTTAGATAATTATTTCTCGCAAAGTTCATTTTAACTGATGAAAAAAGTACAAGTTTGCTGACATTTTAAACCTTTTAAACACAAGTTGATATCATAACACATGTTTCTATGGGATGCTGCAGAAGAGGTAAAATATAAAATTGAGTAGGAATGAACTTGAGGCTGACTCATAGTGAGAATGAATGCTTTTGCTTTTGTTGCATGAATGACAGGCACCCAAGAGAAAGTTTAGTTCTTGTAAAGATACAAATGTGAGCTTTTTCTTTCTTTTATGTTAGTGTAGATGGTTATCATTGGAGAAATGTCCACTGGAAAGACTGCTGAAATGCTGTCATATTCGAAAGATAGAATGATATATAGCTGAAATATTAGGACCAAGCTTTGATGCCACTCTGGATGTATAGTCCCATATATACATTTCTTTGTGCAGTGCATGTGACTTTCAGCTAAACCGATTCAGTTTATCATTTTGATAATTTCAAAATCCAAGGGTATACACCAATGTGCTATATAATCAACCTTCTTTAATTGTTTCCTAGCAGTTTTGTTAACGATGTACTTAGTTAATCACATAATCAGAACTCAACTTTATATGCATAATACAGAGAAAGGGTCATGGATAGGACTAATGTTTGGACTAGGGCCAAATAACAGTGTAGAATACAACAAAAAATACCAATGTGTTAGTAAATGGCCAGTGGGTGTTTTAAAGGCAGTATTCGAATTTACAATTTATATGAAATCTTTCCACAATTATGGAATGAACGAATGTGTCTTTCTAACAGATGACTTAATATGTGAAATTGTTTTACCCTAGTACAATCATTCATTATCTATTTTTAATCAGCTGTTTTGTCCCTAATCAATTTTCTAAAGTGAGCTCTTTTTACTCTACCAAAAAAAATGTAGGGTTCAACAATTTATAGTACTTGAAACTGTGATACTGATATGTTACAATGAAATTCTGATAGATTTATGCAATGTATTCCAAAATTATTATTTTTTAATGCAATATGAGAAATTAAAAGTGAAGATTATTTCTCTAACTGCCTTGTTTCTTTTTCATAAATAGATTTTGCTGTCTTATGTTTTGATTGAAAATTGAAAACCATTGACGGGACTTATTTTAGAATTAAATTATGTGATGTATGATTGTTTGATTGAAGTGCCCACGTGTATTGTTTGAATTGGTATTTTGAAACTCAGAGAATTCATTTGATACGAGGTTGGTTTTGATAAAAGAAGAACAACAAATAAATAGATCAGTGAAAGTTTGAGGCAAATGTTATAAAAGATAAGAAGTTTTGAATATTGAAAATTGCCATGATCATTCAAACAGAAATGGGTAACTCTGATTTTTACATCAAAATTTCTTAAAGTTTTAATGTCTTCAAATAAAATGTTTCAACGTTTGTCAAAGATATAAACCAATAGAAACATGATTTACAGCTCCTCCTCCATACTTCATCAAAATGATCAAGTATCAGGTTTTTTTACATCCCAATACATAATTGATTAGTAAATACAGATAAACTAGCCAGCAAAGAAATCATTAAGTTGCCACTTTGTGAAGAGATATTAAAAACTTCATAATTGCTCTTAATATTCACTGTGGAATAATCAAATTAAATAATTTAATTATTCAGCTTCATATTTTGTAAAATGGAATCTGATATTATTTCTATAACCAATATACCTTGGCTTACTCATTTATAACCTCATTCATTATGTATATTTATCATATGTGTATGTTTATTACTGTCCTGTAATATTGTATTTATATATTTGTATTGTATTACTTTGTAACCAGTGGAAAGCAAATTTCCTGATAGGGATTATAAATTATCAGGTGGGCTGTATCTAATACAGACCACCTTATATTTTTGTTAAAATTGCCTTTATTTATTTATTTATTTATTTATTTCTTTATTAGGTGGTCTGTTGTCAACAGACCACCTATTGATTTCGTCAGAATTTTCTTTCTTTATTTATTATTATTATTATTATTATTATTTATTTTTATTTTCCGCACTTTTTTGTGTAGAGGATAACTCAAGATCAGTTTGGTCAATTTCTTTCAATTTTGGCACAGTCATAGGACATTGTCATAAGACGTGACAGTAACATTTTCAAGGTCACCAAGTCTTCATGACGTCATCCAGGCGCCATTTTGTGTTTTTTTTGGTACTTTTTACTCAGGATCATATCTTCATAACGGAAAGGCATTTCATATTCATATTTATCATGATTAAGGTCAATAACCGTCCGGTCAATTTCAGGTCAAAAAACGCGCGCGCACGCGTTCGTCCGCGCGTCAGCGCGCGCGCAAAAAATAAAAATGCTCAAAATCGTCCCAAATTAATTTTGCATACGTTTGAGGCCATTTTAAGCGTTTCGCAAAAAAAGCTCACACGCGCGTGCGCGCGCGTTTTCGCGCGTACTTGTATTTGCCAACATAAAATCGCAACATTTTCTCTGTCATCATATTAAGCACATTTTTCCAAGCATTTTGATACCTTGTTAACCTTTTTCTGCCCATTAATAACGGAATGAGCGTCCGTTTAAGATAATGTGCGTGCGTGCGAGCTCTTGTAATACATAGCATACATGGGCAAAAACATGCCTATACAAAATCCATTGTAGCGCTTTAGGATGGAAGATAAACCAAATTTTCTTTTCATATGTTGATAGAGTATGAATTGGAGATATGATTTCATGTCTCATTTGACCCTCAATTGACTCATGACGTCATGATAATGGCCTCCGAACTCAAAATTTTAATTTGCATATTATGACGTCAGCAGATTTTTGGAAAATTGATTGTATCTCTGTAAATATTGATCAATTTTCTTTCAAATTTTGAAATGTTCTACTTGAGAATATTCTCTACAAATGTAGTCCTCACGAAATTTCATTTTGACAAAGGTATCATGGCGTTTTTTTGCGATTAAAGGAGGCATGTCAATTTTTCACATTTTGCGTGTATTCTCTATGGGACATGACTTTTTCTCTAACTGGATTCTACATTCTCGTCTTTCGCGAGCAATATCTCCGTCGTTTTATCTTTGTTTACGCTGAGCTTTGAGTATGTTGTAGCTGAGAAAATAAGCTATCATAAGTGTGCCCTTTAGCCCTTTATTTTTTCGATCAGATGCCGGGATCATGCTCATATTTCACTTACAAAGTGGGATTTGATAATTCCATTTTCAGTTTACGTGTAATCTTTATGGGAAATGTTTTGGTATATCGGTAACGCACTTGACTTCCGACCTCGAGGTCCCTGGTTCGAGTCCGGGCGTCTCTAACAATTTTTTTTCTTCACTTTTTTTTCTTTTTGACCTTTCATTCTACCATCTCCTTTGAATATTTAAAAACGTACAATCGCAAATAATGTAATAAACAACCATATTTACTTTATTATTACCCTATTATCACTAGATACATTACTTTTGGCGTGTAATCCTTATGGGAGATGACTTTTTCTCAAATCTGGATTCTACATTCTTGTCTTTTGCGAGCAATATCGCCGTTATTTCGGCTTGGTTTTTGTTGATTTTTGAGTATGTTGTAGCTGAGACTATACGCTATCTAAATGTTCTCTAATTTTGTTCAGTCTGATGTCATCGTGGTCTGTTGATGATAATCATCAACATCATCATGATCATCATCATCATCATCATCGTCATTACCATTACTATCAAGTTCATCATCATCATGATCATCATGATGATCATCATTGTTTACATGTCTATATAACTTCTCCCTTTCTCAATATAGTAAATATTATAATCTCTCATAAGACTTGAAGACAGACCACCTAATTCGTCCCAATGACGAATTAAATTTCTAGTTTTTCTTATTTCCACCCACTTTTTTGTTAGCAAGATAACTTTGTAATGGTTCTATCAAATGCTTTGATATTTGGCACACATATGTATAGGCATATGGACAAAACACGGTAAAGTTTTCAACCTTGACCTTGACTGATGACGTCATCTAGGCGCCATTTTGTGAAATTTTCGGAAAATCAATTCATGATCATATCTTCATAACCAAAAGGTATTTCTCATTCATATTTATCATGATAAAGGTCAATATCAGTCCGGTTAATTTCAGGTCAAAAAACGCGCGCGTGCGCGTACGTCCGCGCGTCAGTGCGCGCGCAAAATTTTTAAATGCTCAAAATGGTCTCAAATTTATTTTGCATACGTTTCAGGTCATTTTAAGCATTTTATAAAAAATCGCGCGTACGAGCATGCGCGCGCGTTTTCGCGCGTAACACCATTACAAAACATAGAATTGCCATTTTTTTTCTTTCATGATATTTCTCATATTTTTTCAAGGAATTTGATACCATGTTTATCTCTTTATGACCATTAATAACAAGATGAGCGTAAATTCAAGATAAATGTCAGTGCGCGCGAGCTCTTTTAATACATAGCATATATGGGCAAAAACATGCCTATACAAAATCCGTTATAGCTCTTTGGAATGCACCGGGATCCTCAATTTTTTTTCATATTTAGATAGAGTATGAGTCGGAAATATGATTCCATGTCTCATTTGGCCACTAAGTGTATCGTGACATCATCACAATGGTCTTGGAACTCAAAATACGAATTTGCATATTATGACGTCAGCATATTTATGTAAAATTGATTGTATCTCTGTAAATATTGATCAATTTTCTTCAAACTTTCGATATGTTGTAGCTAAGACAATTCTCTACAAGCGCAGTAATAACCATTTTTCATTTTGATGACGTCATCATAGTGAAAATTTTGATTGAAGGCCTCATGTCAAAAACTTCATAATTTGCGTGTTATGCCTATAGAAGGTGAATTTAGTTCACGTTATGAATCTACATGATATTGTTTTTTAAGAATTTGTAAGCAGTATGTCGCTTATTTTTGCTCTATTTTGTCTCAAATTTTAGTTGACCAGCCCACCTATACTTGTTCCAAACAAGTATTATATGTCTAGTTATACTTATAGACATTTTCTCATAGAATAGGAGGGACTACATACATTTATTGAAGAGATATTTCAATCATCACTTGATTTTCTCTTAGTTCACAGATCAATTTCTTTGATTTTCTGCATTTTCCCCTTCATATTAATTAAATTCAATAGTGGATTGTAACATCTGTTTAAAATACTGCCAGTATACTGAACCGTACATGTGTTTGTATATCATGTTGAGTAACAGATCAATAAAACGAAGCACAACGTTAATGTCATATATCACTTATAGTGCATGGTTAATTGATTTTCCCCCTTTGATGAGTTGTTGTTGCAGTTTTATTTGAGAATAATAGGCCTAATGATTAGTATCTCTGTGGTTTTATATAATCATTTATTTATAGCCCCCTCTCTCCCCCTCCCCCCTCTCTCTCTCTCTCCCTTGCTCTCTCTCTCTCTCTCACTCTCTCTCTCTCTCTCTCTCTCTCTCTTTTTCTCCGTCCATTACATACATATATATTTTTAAATTAATGGGCTACTCATTTCTGATGTTTCTACTTCTCAAGTATGGTCCCCCATAGAATGTAAATCACCGTGCCTTATATCACAGTGCCTGTAAATGGTTCAATGTAATATTTTCTATTTTCGAATAGGTTTCTTGGTGTCTTAATTTGTACCAAGTATATCTTTTGAAGAGTTTGATATATTTTTCCAGTTAACTTGTCTGAGTACAAAAGTTACTTTTCAAAATCGGCTTCATTTAACACTGATTGATTTTATGTTGTACTTACATAATTATGCTACATGTTAGAGCAGAGAACTAGTCTTTGACTTCAGACGCATTGGCCATAATTCATCGTTTCAAACATCCATGTTTCTTTATATGCGGATTTGATCCCTCCAAAGAAACATTAAATCCAGAAGAAAATGAGTTATTAAAACATGATTACCCTCGATAGCTTGGATTGCAAGGAAAAGCGCCATAATTCAATCCTAATATTAAAGTGACGAGGGATAGATATGTGCATGTGTTTAACTTATCTCCATTATTATGTTTAATCTTTAAAGAGAAGGTTGAGTTCTG